TGGCGAAGCCGTGCGCGTTCCAAAGAAAGCTCGAGCATAGAAAAACAAGCAAGGGACCAGGGATGCCAAATTCAGGATATAGAAAAATACCCCACTGTATCGAAGCGCCACCACACACGATTTCTTGCATTTATGTACAGGCCTGGAAGGCGATCCCACCGCCATCTGCTGGTTCAGAATCCAACTAACCAAGAATAGGGTTGCACCTTAACAGCCAGCGCGCAACGGACGTCCATCGCGCGGCCTTCAACTTCGCAATCCGCTGCCCAATCTAATCTCAAACTGACGCTAGATTGGTAGACCAGCCGCAGACCAAGCCCGGTAAGGCCTTCGTACTCCACCTAACCTTTCTATCTTCCCGGTTCCACCGTGCTCAAAAGACTCAGCTGTCAGCCTGCATGAGAAACGACTCCGTCAATGAAAGCGTCCGTCTCCGTCCGAGAAAGTGGAGACCTGTTTGCGTCCATCCCGGAGTGATGGATGCGAAGCGGCCGAGCCGTCCCTCGTAGAGACGAAGCCACCGGCGGCAAACTGCTCGCTTGTTGAACTTTTCCTGCCTTCCCTTCCTTCCATCCCGCGGCCATCCAGCCAAAATAATAATAATAATACAAATAAGTAAATAAACGGATGGAAAGACGAACCACCGAGGCGTGTCCCAATTGAAAGATTATCGAGTCTTCGGCCAGGAGGGAGTAAAAGACGATAGAAAGGCCTCGGTGATTCCTCTTCCCGCTTTAGACGTGGTTACCATCCTCAAGGACCGACTTTTTTTGCTTTTCCCTCGCATCCCCATTTCCCTTTCCGTTTGTCGTCTCTGTTGGCCTCTTTCCCAGTGCTTCGGCGAGGCTTAGGGGCTCAGAGACCGAGAGGAAGCCTTCTCCCCTCGGCGATTGGGTCGGAGCGGCGGCGGATGGATGGGCTCTATCTTTGCGGCCAGGCTCGTTAAAAGAAAGAACAAACTCGTCGCTTGTGTTCCGCTCGAGCGAGTGTGACTGGCCCAGGTTATAACGTTGCCGCTGCCGCCGGGCCGCGGCGCTGTGAGCGGTCGTGGCCGCTTGGTCGGGATTCTGGGCGACCGCCGCTGATTCAGCAGCCTTTCTTTGCGCCGCTGGCTCGAAATGATGGAACAGTTGGAAGATCCAATAGCGCGGAATTCTGCCTGGCGCACAAGTGGCCTCACATATTTTGCTTTTTAATAATGAAGATAAACGAGAGAAAAAAAAAAGAAGAAAAGCTCGGGAACGAAGAAAAGCAACGATATATTTTGGTTATTATTATTTTTTTTTCTGAATGTGAGAGCATTTTTGAAAAATTATTTTTGTTTCGTGTCACTTTTTTTTTGTAAGCTGGGGTCGAAGTTTAGTTCCGTAAAGTTCTGAAAAGTCTGGCTGGTGATCGCTTTTATTAGATTTTCTGTGCAATCTCCTACATGGCTCATTTATTGTCTGATACTCCTGAAGAGGATTAGAGGAGAACATATTATGTCGACCAAAACCCCGCGTTATATCTAATATTTTCTTCCGATCGGTGTAACATTTTATATTTTATTACTAAGACTACACGATAGTGCAGTGCCAGCAGAAAGGAAAAAAAAATCTGTGTCCGCATTCATCGCTTTTAACTTTAAACTTCTTTTCTAATTTATTATGCATACGTAAAATGTTAATCATACTCCAAACTACCTTCAAGAGAGATCTTGTATCAACTCCGTCTGCACCGTCGCCGGGAATGAATACAGCACTTTATGCATTTATTCTCATTCAGTTCGTGAGTCATGGAAAGCATAAGTAAGGTACAGAGAGGAATGGCCCGCACATCGATAGAACTGTTCTCACGTGTGCTCATTGTCATTGCGGCTAGTCCTGTTACATGCGGCTGCAGTTTCTGCTCAGGATGTACAACTTGGACTTAACGATATTCGACGTTTAAGTAACGGTATACGGCTTATAACTGAGAGCATACCTCAGCTTAAGCCAGGGCCAAATTTCCATCCCTTGGCGACGCGGATTAATATAGAAAGAGGGAGTAATTTCCAACACGTCCCAGGGTAGTTGGCCCCACCAAGTTTGTCTAGAGGCACCCATCAAAAAAATATTGAAGAACGCACTTTCAACGCGGGCGTTTAAAAACAAGGTTCACATCCTCTCTCACGGCGCAGATATATAAACATAGGAATAGAGAGTTAGAAACGTTCGTCTACGAGGTTGAACCTTCAGCAGAATAATTTCCGCAATATAATTTGAAGACCTGGTTTAGGTCGTCCCTATACTTTTATTTTAGGTTATTTGGTAGGGTGGCCGCACGCACACCATTTTGTATGCCTTTCGGTCAGAGCCTCGTTTTAACCGAAAACTAGTTTTTTCTTTCTCCCGATTTTGTGTTTCTTCTAAAAGAAGGAGGTAGAAATTAGCGTAAGGCTAGCTTTCTAGACTCTAGTGGCGAACACTCGGTGACTAGAACATAGAAAAAAAATGCAAGTCGTTTCCAACTCCCTGTAACGCCGAATTAGAGCGCAGCTCTTTAGGAGAAGAAGGAGAATGTACGGAGAGGGGGGCTATGCCTCTCCTCCTCTCTTGTTCGCCTCCTATTTAGGGAAAAATTTCCGCTAAGTTTAGCGAAAAAAATTCCCCGCTAAATTTAGCGGTGAAATTTTTCCGCTAAATTTAGTGCGGACAATTTTCCGTTAAATTTAGAGGGGAAATTGTACCGCTAGATTTAGCGGAGAACGTTTCCCGCTAAATTTAGCGGGGAAATTTTTGCGCTAGATTTAACGGGGAAAAATATCCGCTAAATTTAGTGGGGAATTTTTTCTGCTAAATTTAGCGGGGACAATTTTCTGCTCAATTTAGCGGGGAAGATTTTCCACTAGATTTAGCGGGGAAGATTTTCCGCCAGACTTACCGGGAAAAAATTTACGCTAAATTTGGCGGTGAAATTTTTCGCTAAATTTAGCGGGGAAGCTTTTCCGCTAAATTTAGTGGTGACATTTTTCCGCTAAATTTAGCGGGGAAACTTTTCCGCTAAATTTAGCGGGGAAAATTTTCCACTAAATTTAGCGGGGAAATTTACACAACATGCGCCGCGCGGTTACGCCGACGCCGACGCCGCTCAAGCCGGAAACGGGCGCCTAAGAGCTGCGCTCTAAAAATCAAAGCCCAGTGTCCCGCCTATTTCTCCTTCATCGTATCTTTTAGCATAACTAGGCTTCTTCGTGAATCGCTGCTTTAACCCCTGTGGAGGTTTTGCCCCGCTTTGACCGCTCCTGTAACTTGGGGCCCACTTTTTTCGTCAACTACTTCATGCAGTAATTCAGCTTTACCCTTGGTCATCAGCGATTGGAACCTACTACCAAAGGACATTGATACCATAACTGGCACACATAAATTTGCTGCCTTTGTGACCACTTTCATTCCTGCTTTATTCTACTCATTCCTTCTTCTACTGTGTTAAAATTGCGCTCAAGAATGTTTGGTTTAAAAAAAAAGTACCGCTCCCTCGTGTGACAGCCGTAAGGGCCTTCAAGGACAATCAATGCTGATAACGATGATGATGTATCCCCTTTCATATAATTAAACATCGTTTCCAGAGAATAGTCGGTGACAATTTTCTGAAACTATATAAAAAAAAAACTACAGAAAAAAAAACACTAAGGCACTCGTCTTTTTGAGCATCTCAGTCGCCTATCAAATGTATGCACGCACACGTCTTTTTGAGGGTGGAGCATAAAAATCAACACCATATAAATCAAATTTTATATGTGATTTATAGTGCACCAGTTATACTATATTAACTGTAATAATCCTTTGCGGCATCAAAATGAAAAAAACCTGCATATTTGCTTAACTTTTGACTATAAATTTGAGTGTTATTTTAAATTATATTAAAAGTCATCGAGTATGAAAGACATGAGTGAGGCTAATCACGTGAAGAACGTGGTGCCCTTTGGACAAAATCGGAGCCTCCAGCTGCGTTTGTACTTTTCGCTTTGCTCCTTAGCCACTTGGTGCCGTGCCCTCCCCCCCCCCCCCCCCCCCCATTGCAAGCAATACAGAACACGAAAGAAAAAAAAAAGAAGTGAAAACAAGAAAATGGTGCTTTCATACACATACGCGCAAATCTAGCCGGGACTGGAAGAGAAGCTCTGAGAAAGACAGACCGAGTCATATACGTCAGCTTGATCTTACTGTAGCTAGCGGAGCCGTTTTGTCTTACATAATCATCCAACCGGCTTCATCATACCATACTATACTGCATTGCCAACTTTTAAACAAAAGCAATAAAAAAAAAATCACGAAAAAACGTTGCCAAGAGGCGACTTTTCATTGTTGCTTTGCACTTCTGTTTCGGCTAACCCCCGAATTCATAGATGTGACTTCAACTGAAGCCGAGCTTCGACTTGCTCAAGACCGCCTCAACACCAAGTTCGACTTGAAAACGCCCAAGCTGGCTTTTACGTTTCATAGACGCTCCCGCGAACTTCCTTCGTCAAGTCCCGTTCAAGTCGCGAGCGCTCGCGCTGCTCCCCGCCTGGGAGCGAGATTAGGTTGCAATTTTTCTTTTAAAAAGAGTTTCACACGTCAAAAAGAAGTTGCTTCTTAAAATTTTCTTGATGGCATGTCTTTACGAAACGCAAATCGTGAAAGATGCTGTTTCGCAGGTTTCGAAACTAACGTTGTACGCGTTTTCTAGACAAATGCGCTTTTCCGTCTAGCAACGTTGGCTCAATTTGAGCGATGGCTCCTGGCCTGTTTCTTTTCGTTTCGCTCGTTGGCGTCCCTCGCTTGTGGACATATTTGGCGTCATGTGAGTTTCGACGTCTCCTTCATTATGAAAACTCGGGAGAAGCTTGAACTAGGATTCACTGAAGACAAGAAACGAATGCTTATCTGGGTTCAACAAGAATGAAAAGGTATTCGAGTGAGTGGCCGACTCCGGTGCCGTGTCCACACGCCTCAACGAGAAAGTTTAAAATCCTAGTAGGATCTTCCTACGGGACTCTTATAACGAAAAAGCGCTTGTAACTCCCGATGCGGAAGGAAAATGACTACGAATTGAAGCGGTGCTCAAAGCAGGTAAGTGTTTTTACAACATTTCCTTAATGCAAACTATGCGGCGTAGTACTCGGATATGTAAACTGGAAACTATGCGGCCTGGCCTAAGCGCTCTTTCGGCTGTTTTAAACGTTATTTTGTGTTGCTTACATGTTTCTACAAAGGCTTATTTTAATGGGCGCCACTACATAAAGCGTTGGGCGCGGTGCCTGTGCTTTCGGTGATCGAAACCAGTAAGTAGCTACCGGGCATCATAGTTTTCGCAGCTATGTTTACCTCGTCGGGCTTTCGCGGGCAAAAACTCAGGCCCGGAACATGTTGTTCATGAGGCGGTGGAACTGTCACTGATGTTTGGTGCGCAGAGGCAGTTTGTTCACCTTTTGTAATCAAGAAAGCTCTCTTTGAAACTGTAATTTTTTCTAATTTCTATTTGATCGTTTCGGCTGTAAATAGTCTCGACGCTGCCACTCTCTCGTTTGTGACAGTCATGGATTGAAGTCAAACCATTTTATATGATTTTCAGAAGTCTCCTTCCTAAAGATAATGTCCAGGAGCAGGAGTAGCACCTTAGGAAATATTAGCTTTGTGGTTACATCTTGTATATTTCATATACGTTCCTTACATAAACTTTTCTTTTTTTTTTAGGAAGGGGACTGCTTTTTCAGCCAGTGAATGCGGTCTGGGCTGGACATAATTTCCAGGCAAGTAAACGAGCATTGTCATGTTGTGCCCCCTGTCCACAGTGATGTGCCCCCCGTCTACAGTGAGTAAGTGTGCTGCTGCAGCCAACAGTGCACTGGTAGGAAGGGGAACCCTCTGTTGAGCAGGAGGAAGACGAAGTAACGAGGACACGAGTAAAGCGCTCAAGCTGTTGAATGCAGCTGCATGTATTCGGTGTCGTAAAAGGGCGCTTTAGGGCTTGGGCGAGTTCCTGTTAAATGTCTATTGAGCATTACAGGTCGGTACCCATTGTCTTCTCATAAATGAGTGACCATGATGCCTGGGAGCACCACATCAGTGTTAGCAATGCTGCAAGCGAGTGGACTAACAGCAGAAAGCATCTCTTCCCGCTGATGTGACTGCAGAAATTTGCTTTTATGGCCTACTGTCGTCTGGATGTGGAAGGCCGCTCATCGCTCTTTCACCTGTGCAACCATGTCTCAGAGCTGCAGTTGCTTCACTGATTGAAAAGTTGTGGCTGCCCAAGTCTGCATGCGACAAACGGTTCCAGAGATCGGTGTGGCATGTTTCAGTATGGCTAGACATTCTACCTGTTCATAAAAACGTATGCCAGACGGTTTCAAGACAACTGTGACACCCTGATCGTGTGTCGAGTTCAGCGACAACCATCAGTTCGTCACTGTACTCTTCAGTGCCGTGTTTATTTGGCTGCTCGAACATCTTTATCTACGGCAGTAAATGCTCGCACCACTGCAATTGTTAATAGGAAGTCATTTATGACCCGAGCCGTTTTTCTTATGACCATGGCCCTCCTCTCGTGTCCTCGTCACATTGTTTTTCTTCTGCACCACACATCTATGAAGCTTGTGACGCACTAGTTTGCATTCACAAGCTGACGACTCGCACAACGTCTAAACTTGGAAATATATAAGCACCCTGGGAAGGCTGTTTAGTGACTATGAAAATTTGCATAAACTTGAAAACCTGATGACTGAATTAAGGTGGTTGGTTGGGTGAGTTGGTAATGATTGAACATGGTTAAATTTGTGCACAAATAGAAAGGAACAGAGGAGAGAGAAGAGACAAGCACAAACTCACAATTCGATGTATTGAAGGAAGAAAAAAGGACAGCCTCCAGTAACAGCTCGAGCCGAGGCCGGAAGAAAAAAGAACAGCCTGCACTAACAGCTCGAGCCGAGGCCGGTGTGACCTCGGCTTGAGCTGTTTCTGCAGGCTGTGCTTGTCTCTTCTCTCTCCTCTGTTCCTTTCTACGTTATTTGTGCACAATTTTAAACTGACGACTGAAATGCACTCAATGTGGACCACTGGGAGATAATTTGTTCACCGGCACAGTTGTTTCCTAGATATAAGCACAAGCTTGCGCTCCTTCCATTTTCCTCAACTGCCAAATGTATGTGCAGCATTTGCTGTAGGCTATACGAGGTTGGTGAGGATGATTTTTTTTTTTATAATTTAGCATCTCAGCTCTCTGTAAACAAAACTTAGAGTCTTTCAGGGCTTTAGATGCGCAGTGCCACCTCCAGAAAATTATTTTGTGTTTGCCCGTCAGTGCCGCATGTTGGGATATGTATCTAAATAAGCAGCTCTGGTCTGTATGTTTGTTTGTCAAGAGCTTGAGCCATTCCCTTTTTGCAGGTTTTATGTCGGCAGTGTTTCATGATTACAAGACAAACAAGGAGGCTAATGCACAGGTTGCAGCCATTCAAATTCTTTTATTTCGGAAGTGGGACAGCAGTATTGAGGCTCATGCATTTCTGAGGGTGCAGCGAGTAATGAAACGGAAACAGAGGAAGCAATACGTTCCACCATAGTTTTAGCACAGGGTTCACATTAGTTCTAAAGACAATCAAGAAAAGAGAACGGGTATTTTCATTGGGGAAAGAAACACGCAGGGCACAGCATTCACAAGACATGCCACTTAGAAATGCAAGAATCAAAGAGAAAATAACTTGTAAAATAATGAAAAAAAAGCATGATCCCTTAATGATTTAGAAAATCACGAAAATGCAAACAAGACGAGGATGGAGGGAGGTGTACACATGAAATGGATGGTTGCTTTGCATACTCCAGCTTCATCTTTATCTTATTTCCACTGCTTCAGGTTTAGGTCATTATGCCCAAGCAAAGCATAAATCATATCATATTTATTTTCAATTTAGTCATAAACATCAGTTAGACAAAGCATTTCAGTTAGGGATTTTAAAATGACTGTTTGTGATTAATGAACTGTGGCTCACCATGTGCTCAAAAGTTTGAAAATGTGCACTCCGTGCAACATACGTATTATCCCCATTTCATTGGTGCCACGAGGAAGGGGGGTCCTATACAGTAGCACTCTGGCTTTAGTCTGCTTGTTTTTCTACCCCTTCAGGTGGCAGTTGCACTGATCTTCTCAACATTGCCCCCTGGCTCGCATGACTGGCAGAGCAGCAAGGATGGCTCATTCTCCCTAGGTTATGTGATGCTGTGCACGGAGTGATAATTTCAACTACCCGACGAGTATGGTGCCTGGAGCAAGTCTTCGACTGGTGTGTTTAGCGTCCTTTGCTGCCCGTACATCAAAAGTGGTCCGAAAGTGGCAACAAATGACGTCACGGAAGCCGAAGTGTCACGCTGTTGCATGTTGCGATCCTGGCGGTTGGCCATTGAAACGTTAAAGAGCAGCTGCGAGTACCACGAGGCGAACGCGAGTGTCGCTGTCGTCACGGTGTCCCAACTACTGGATGCTGAAGCTTCAGTGGACTGTCGAACTGTAGAGCGCCCTGCAGTAGAACAGGCGTCTGCCACATCAACCACCGCTGCTGGGACACCGCCAGGATTGCGACCGGCGACATCATGACACTTGTATGATGCACCGGGCAGAAATTGAGGGATTACTTCTTTGGACACAGTAGACACACCAGTCGGAGATGCATTCCAGGCACCATACCTATCTATACAGTACCACCCTGGCTTCAGTCTGCTTGTTTTTCTTCCCCTTTTAGCTAGCAGTTGCACTGATCTTCTCAACATTATCCCCTGGCTGGTATGACTGGCAGAGCAGCAAGGATGGCTCGTTTTCCCTAGGTTACGTGATGCTGCGCACGGAGTGATGATTTCAACTACCCAGCGAGGCATGGGGATCGTCTTTTTCTTTCAGCAGTGTTGCGAGTCTTTATCTGGGTGGTGTTGTACCTGAATGAGTTAATAAATGTTACGAGTCAGAGAGACAATATATGATGTTTTCAAGAATTTGGCAAATTATCATTCCAACATCTTCATTATGGAGGTTGCATGCAGATAATATGTGCATGGGTGTGAAGTTTAGTGTGAGTGAACGATCATAAAAAAGGTCAACTCATTTTGTCTTGCCTTTATTGCACTGGGAGAATTGTGATGTATTTTTTCTTTCACGAGGCAATAATATTTTGATTGTGGAGTGGACACAAAAGTGTTGTGCCCTCGAATCGAGCTTGGTGCAAACCTGTGCATAGTAATAAATCTTTTGGAGCAAAAAAAAATTAAACCGGTGGCTATTGTTTCATTAGATATTGTTTCGGGGAGAGTTGGTAAGCACTCCTTAGCACAGTGCTAAACAATGCTTTCGGCACATCCATTTGTGAAATGTTGCAGAAATCTTAGGAAAAGAAGGTATGCTTTCTTTCAGCAATGCCCTTCTTCGACAAACTTCATGTAAGATGTAATTCGAGAAGTATGTTTTGTGGTGAACAGCTAGTGCACAAATACAGTAATAAAACACGTCAAAACTTGTTGGAACAAAAAATTGGTGAAGTGTGTGGCATCTGTAAAATGTAGAACCTGTACATGGGGGGGAGGGGGAGGAATCGGAGTGAGTTTTCAGCAGCTATGTATGACCAATCTTGTTCTAAGCAGCCATTTGACAATTCAGAGATAACTTGAGAACTTGAAATGCATGGTAGTACCAAACTAGAAGGCATTCCTGATTTTCCATATTGATTTTACTGACGCAAGTGGCAAGTTCATACTGCACGTCATTTTTTAAACAAGTAATCCAGCACAAACAACACAAAAGTGAGAATAGCTACTACAATAAAGTGGAGATTTGGGCCAGTTGGTTCATTGCAAACAAAAAGCGCCGAATAAATGAAGGGACACAGACGAAGGGAAACAGGGCAAGGCGCCTTGTCCTGTTTCCCTTTGTCTGTGTCCCTGTATTTTTTCGGCGATTTTGTTTTTAAAAAAAACTGCTAGTATGCATACAGAGAACGTTAGGTCAAGAGCTTGCATCAGTAAACGTGCGTGCACACCGCACATGCTTGCTCAGGTTCTTTGCGCCAGAAGCTCTGGAGGCTTGTTTATTTTCGGTAAACGGGGGAACCTACCTGGGTAGTTTATGCAGGCAACTGCTCTTAAGTTCTCATAAATGTCTGCATAATCGCCACAGGGACCCGGGCTTTTGATACACGCGTGCGTGAACCCGGTTACTCGAAGGAGGCGGAGAATTTCGGGAGCGCCGGGGAAGTGGACGAGTCCGAGCGACAGATGCCTTACGGTGAGACGCGTCACTCTCCCGATTGCACCGCGCGCCGTCCATTGTGAAATGTTGACAGCTAGAAGCATCCTGCCAGCAAACGTCGCAGCGTGATGAGCAACTGTAGCTTGGGTATCAGCGGCAGCCGCCTGTTGTCGCCGTTCGGATCAGGCGGTCAAGTCGCGGCCGAGCAGCTCCCGCGCCGTTGCCGTTCGTTGTCGCACATCCCGGTGGGGTGCATTCGATCACGGAGGAATGGCCGCTTCTCTCGGCGAAAAATACCCGTGACCGAGGGCAACACGGCAATCACAGGACACAAATATTGAACGCGGCGATCCCATATGCGACATCACATCAGCAAGCCGCCATGTTGAAATGACTACGAAGTCGCGTTCAAGGTAGGTCCAACCCAGTCTTGAAATTTGGGCACTTCAAGTTCGCTTCAAGCTCCGTTCAAGATCGGTTCAAGTTAAGGCGCGTTTATGAAGCGCGCTTGCTCGTCGCAAGACGGACTTGAGCAAGTTGAAGCTCGACTTCAGAGCAAGTCACATCTATGAATTCGGGGGTAAGAGTCTGCTGATATTTTCTTCATGCAGGCAGCTTGGCAGTGTGCTTGAAGCCGACGGGAGATATTTCGGCTTCGAGCTTTCGAGTAGAGATATCAAAAAATGGTTGGAATGTTTATATTTGTTGATGTATTACAGGAAGTTGTGTTTGTATTTAGCAAATTAATCAAGTTGATTCTGTTCCAACAAGATGTATGGTGCCGTTTATACGAATAATATGAAGTCCTTAATTTAACTCAATGTACTTAATGACATAATTACTTTTACGCTGAATTTCATGTGAATATTGCACGTGATAAAACAACCAGAAAACATCAGTAACACGAAACATTATTTTCTAGAAAAACTGATTTAAGTGATACATATCTGATATAAACGAATCTGATGCAACGCAAATCTGATTTTAATATAATAAACGTGACTTAATAAACATAATCTAATTTTGTGAACGTGTTGTATGCTAAGTTTCACCCTACATCTGACCGTAACGGATGCTGCAAGCCATCGAAGCCAATACAAGGCCGTGTGAAGAGTAGGTGGCCTTGAAGAGGGGCCACAATAATGCACGGACAGCGTATCACGTGCAACGTTCACAGAGCTACATTTACTGGGATTGCTTGTAGGGTCAGCTGCATTCGGACCTAAGGTGAAATAGAGTATAGTTAACGAATAGTACATATTGTTTTTAATTTATTTTATGACTGGTAGACGTTACATCATTGTGTAGTAAATAAAATACCGCGTGTTTTGTAATTGTATAGTTACGATTTAACGAGAGCTCTTAGTTCCATACAACCCTTGGAGCGTGAAATATGTCGGGTAATTTGGTGTAACATAGCCGCATATAACTGTGTTTAGTCCAGCGACCCCGGAAGTGTATTTTACGGGGGGGGGGGGGGGGGGGGGGGGGCTAGCGGTCGAAAGAAAGGGTGAAGTGTGTGCGTGTGTGTGTGTGGGGGGAGGGGGAAGGGGGAATGAAAATTGAAAAAAAAAACGGTTATTACCAAGATTTTACTGTTTATAAAAGGTTAATTATCATTTGGTATACCGTGTGTCCCCACACTAATCCAAAATTCTCGTCACAAAGCAGTGAAATGTTAACACACAATTATTTTTATACATTAAGAGAAATGCGGCTTTCTTTAGAACACGTCACCACATTGCAATGCTTTTGGAAATTGAATCCAAAAGCCAGCCGTCTCGGTGGCTCCGAGACAAAGCGCCGCCTACGGATCCACGGGTGGCGGGTTCGGATTCCCGCAGTCCGACGGAGGCTTATTGCAGAGAAGGCGCCCGAGCTTTTGGCTGCACGTCTAAAGATCCCCAGGTGGTCGAAATTAATCCTCAGTACTCCGCTGGGGCATGCCAGATGCCCGTCGTTGGTTTGGCATGTAGAACCCCCAAATTTGACTTTGAAAACCAAATGCCCACCAAAAGCGGTCAGGGGATCTGACGTACTTTACCGGGAGTTCACGTACGATGTTTCGTTAGCCCTTTGAAGTGACCGCGCAAATTGGCGTGTTAACGTAGCGTGCTACGATTTAGTACAGAGGTACCCAAAAATGGTGGATTTTTTTTGAAGAATGAAGACATAAACCTTATTGGTGAAAGAAAAGAAGCATTTTTCTATGGGTAAATTTCCGCAGAATCTCTTTTTCGCGAAACTATCAAATACTTTTTTGGGCAACTGAGGCGTTTATTATGACTGAAAAAATGGATGGAATAAAAATAAAATACAATAATACATAACATTGCCTTCATTTCGCAAGAATTAACGCCACAGTGGCTTAAAATATTATTTGGTGTTTACACGCAAAATTAAAAAAAAAGAAGAAGATTTTTTTTTGTTTATTTGAACTACCTTTATAAAATTTTACAGATTACTTCTACTGTCTAACTACGTCTCTGTGCTAAATACCTTCGCAATCTATTGCAAAACTGTTTTATGCGGTTATTTCATGGGGCCAACGAAACATAGTGAAATCCCTGGACTCCCTGCAATGCAGGTCATGCGACCTAAGATTTCACAATCCCTTCTTGCTTCGCTACGCATGCGCATACACAAAATTAAAACAAAACCTACCAGATTTTCGTAAATTCTGGGTGACTCTTGGTACGATACGGTCCGCTGCTGTCTGGCCGATATTTTCGGATATTTCCGGTGGCTGCTCCCCCTGACAAAGTGCCAATTTCTTGGGTCCCCGCAACCACGTATCAAGGAGCGTCCTTTCGGTCGCCATAATGATTAAAAATGTAAAACTTTAAATGCTGTTTTTTTTAGCCTTGCCGTTGTTGAAAGAAACAAACAAAAAAACATCCTCTGATTTTCAGATGTCCAAAGAAACCGTCCGCGGATTTCAATGACAGATCTATAACCGCAGCTTCAGTGGAATGACAGGGCGAGGAGAAGGAAGGCTGGGGAAGAGGAAGCAGATGAGCTGCTAGAGACGAGGGAAAAATACATCCCTCTCGTTCCAGCACCTTCACTGGCGATGCCTTTTTTTTTTTTCAGGGGCGAAGCTCCTTAGGGTTTAGCCTTGTCCGTCCGCCGTCCGCCGTCCGTGCTCACATCGATCTTGTTGGTGCTCGTGCTCGTGAGCTCACGTGCTCGTGCAGGGCAAAAAAAAAAAAAAAAATTAGTCGACAGGATTTGAACTTGTGCGGGGAGACCTCGATGGATTCCGAGTCCATCGCCCTAACCACTCGGCCTTGACTGCGGGACGAGTAGGGGGGCTCTGAGATGTGGTAATAACTCAAGAGCTGGGGATGTCGTGTATGAAACGTTGCATGTAGCTGCTCAACGTTTATACAGGAGAGGGCGCTGCGGTCAAATGCGTATATAATCGCGTGAAACGTTGCATGCATTGGCTTAACGTTTATAGACGAGAGGGCGCTGCAGTCAAATGCTCAAATGCGTATATAAAAACGTTTCATACCACACATTCTCTTTCTGACATGGATGTAAACGAACGAAAAGCTCGGCATGCTGTGGCTCAGCGTTTACGCAGACAAGCACCACAGAGCTTCGCCCCATCAACATCATTCACCACGTGAAGATGCGGTCATTTTTTTTTTCAGCATGTTTCCAGTTTTTATGGTCGTCTTTGAAAATATTGTACAAGCGTCTCGGTGTATAATAGTGCGCCCGCCGGAACATAGCAGGCTGGCTCGGCGAAAACCAA